TACTGTATCGTCTCATCAGCTTGATGCATGACAAATATACCCTTCCACTTTAGCTACATCCCTATTATTGCATTAATTCTATCAATGTACCACCAGCCAAGTGCACAGTTTTGACTGGAAAGGCAAAACCTGCCAGCCATAAAAATTAACAGAACTCATTTGTTTCCTTGATTAAGCCACTGCTAGTTTTATACTGAGGGACATGACAGTAAAAGCAGCATAATCAATCGCTCGTTAACATTTCCCCCACTCACCCAGGAACCCAAACCAAAAAACATTGCATTCGAAAATCAAGGTTGCTCTGAATTTTGTTTTTAAATGATGCAAGAAAAAAAAAAGATTTATCTGGCTCCAAAAGGAGTGCTTGTCGGAAAATTGCTGAGGGGGAAAAAATGGACGAATTTACAGGCTTCTCTGCTCCCGGCTATTAGCAATAATAATAATAATTAATACCAATCAAGCACTCTCCCTCAGATCTCCCCCACTGGTGCCCCTTCCAGTCCCTTACCACCACCAAATGACGGGGTTTGACAGAGAAGTAGAGTGGGCGCCCACTTCGAGGAGGCAAGAACAATGCAAGTGCCATGGTAAATTGTGTTGTGATTGGTAGGTTGTGCATTTTGAGTGGCGGATTTAATAGAGGAGAACGTTCCTGGACAGATGAATAGAGCTCTCTACTGTACTTTAAATCTCTTATTATTGTTTTATTTTTTACACATCTCCCTCTCTCCATCCTACCACTCTTCCTGCAGATGTCGCTTCCAGGAAAAAACCAAAACAAAACCCACAACGGGCCAGCCACATTTCTGCCGCAGTCAGAGCTAAGAGGGCATGTGTATTGCTTCCTTACAGGGGTGGCAGGAGGGCTGGTGGGTTGAGGGTGGGGAAGTTTCTAGGCTGACCGTCGCAGTGATGGAAGGAGAAAGGCTGGAGAGTTTATGAGTCACGCTGTGGATTTGTCATCTCGCGTTACAACCCCACTCTTGCCCTAACTCCTGGTCATGCACAAAAATCCCCAGCTGGTGTTTGTGATCCAGTGACCTCAGGCGGGGAGGAGGCAGATGCTCAGGTGTGACAGAGGAGTCCAGTCTACAGGATCTGTGACCTCAGAAGCTAGGTCTCCTGGCCTTAGCCTCATGCATAATGCCCCGGAGTTTGGGGCAGGTTTTTACAGCCTGTGCAGAAGTGGAGGCTGGGCGGGGAACAGTTCTAGGTCACCACGTTCCCAGTCTTTTCATTAAAGCTCACTCAAGGCTGCGGGAATGCCGCCAATGCCTGTCCTTAGCCAGGCAGCCTCCATGCGTGGGTTGAGCGGCTGTCCTGTAGCCTAGCACACTTCATCGGGCCCCCACGCTGTCCCTCCATGTCCTGCTATGTGCCAAGCCCCATGACGACAAGGAATAAACAACGGGAATCATAATAACTAGGCAGCCTAGTCTCCTTTCTCCATGTCCCTCTTCATGGAGTCAGAGACCCTCTGCGTGTGACAGTGGCTGTCTGTCTCTCCCGGGTCTCTCTGTGCCAGTTCTCTTCCTCCTGCCCTTGGCTTCCGGCTCCCCTCCTTCCTCCCTTGCTGCCTACTCACCTTCCTCTAATTAGCTCTACCAGGAAAGCAGTTGTCATGGTATTTTCCACCAGCGAGACATTCCCCAGGAAAGCCACAAGGAACCCCCTGCAGCCCTCGGAAAGCTGAGCAGCTCCCGAGGAAACCAACCCGAAAGCAGAGCTGGAATTAGAAAGATTGGAGCCAAAGGGCCACAGGGTGCTACAAGGCCCTGCCAACCCGTCCAGCACCTCGGGCCTGGGGTTGGTGTGTGGCATGAGACAGGAGCTGTTATCGACATCGAGGGCTGAATTCATCCCTAGTGTCACTCTGGGGGATGGTGCTGGCCAAGCGTTTGCATGTGGCAGAAGCCATGGGGGAAGCACTGCCTCGGGGCAAGTGTCCAGTTAGGGGTCCAGACTTGGGGATGAAGGCTCAGCTGGGGAAGGCAAACCCTAGCCCCACCCCTTTTGCCCAAGGCCCCGCCCCTGGACCCAAGCCCCGCCCAATCCCAGACTGATGCTTCCTTGTCACCTGGAGGGCTGAGGCTGCCATGCTCCTGAAGCGGCTGGGGGGGGGGGGGG